TTAGATTGAAATGTTTTCTTGTGTATGAGGAACAGACTCTTAAAACTAAATTTGGTGTAAAACAGGCCAGTAAACATATCAGTTACTAAAGGGGTATATGTCTATTATGTAAAGTAGAACAGACAAATTTGGAATAAGTTTTTTTGGAGTTACATTGCTTGGTATGTGAACTCATCAAAGGGATTCAAAACTGATTTTGTAGCATTGATGCCATGAGGTGGGTATAACAAATAAGTTGCTATTACGTTTCTGTTATCCGAGTTTTTGTTCTATGATTAATAAGCAAAACTTAGGAACAGATCACAGGTGCACAAATTTAGCATAAAAAATTGGGTGTGGTTTTGGGCGTTGTTTTAAGGAGATTTTCTCCGAAAAGCGCTGTTCCGAAAGGACCTGAGATAATGCTGAGATAATTGCTGGAGATTATGCTCGGACACTGGCTAGACACTGTAAGGTTATCCGAAACTGGCTTTTGGAGTTATGTATTTACGATCAATGCCTCAATTCAGCTTGAATTGAGCAATCTTTGACTGATAAGCTAGTCATCGTTGAATCGAGACCGGTCACCAGCAATGTTGTATCTTTCTGGTCACCACGGGCGTCGATATGGAAAAACTGTAATCTGTTGAAAAAATGTATAGGGGGTCTAAAAATGTAACAAATAAAAAATGCCTACTAAGATATCTGGGTGTATAGGATTGTAATAAAATTACAAGAAAAGTGTGTAGTACGTTTCCTAAATAGGCGATTTCTATTAGATTATTCCCATAAATTCGATGGATTTTGGCTAAATATCCTCTAAGCGTTCGATGATCATTGAGATGTATAATTGAAATCAATCACTTTAAGCTTTAAATGCATTTATAGTATTTAGATTGCTATTAAACATAGAAACAAAAGTAAAGAAGGAGAGTAAAGATCTTGACAAGGTTTTACAACTTTGGAGGAGAGTTTTACGTTCATCACTTTCGAGTAATTGCTTTCCGAGGCTGACGTGGCATTGCCGTTTAACGACTTATCATTTGCTTCCTTATTGGAAAAAGATCTTACAGGTTTTATTTACAAGGTAATCTTAATCCTAGGATAGAGTAGATTTTATTTTATGAAGAATGTGCTTCATAGTGCAAAAATGATTTTTTTGCCGGAAAAATTGTTGACAATTTATGAGATTATGAATTAAAATGGTCATATTTGATTCATGCAATCAGTGTCCTACCTAGATAATGTACCAAATTACAAACAATCATTATTTAAAATAAAATAAGAAGCAATGCAATTTTAATTACCACCTAGTTGAAAATTGTGTATACATAATTTTAATATCGTAAACAATATTTTTATAAAGAATTTTGAGTATTTTCTAAAGGTGTGAAATTTTGTGGCCTGTATTTATTTTCTAATAAATAAACTTTATAATTTTATTACATAAATTTATTACATCTACCACGAAAAGTGTATAAAGATGGACCTCATTTGGTTTGCCTTATAAATACCAGCAGTCTAAAGTATTGTGGAGAAACAAGTTTAAAACATATTTTCCGAGAAGACAAAATCCGACAGGTAAAATGGCTCCTTAGGAAAGTGTTGCTATCCAAGGTATTTGTACCGAGGTGTCGGGAGGTATGTTATTTATAAAACAGAATTTCTAGACGTCTAACTAAAATGAGATGGATACAATTTATATTACCTATATTATCATGGTATACGTGAGTGGTAAAAAATTGAATGGCCATTCATGCATTGTAAAATATTATATATTTGATATTCATAGTTTCCTTTCAAAAATAGTTTTAAAATCCATAGTGTACTACATTGAAACTAATCTATTATTTAAGGATTTGTGGTTTTTGATAGTTATAGACCATCTAAATCACATTGGAAACTTAAATTTAAAGATTTACGACTACCTTTGGACGAAGTGAAAATAGTTTATCTTATAAAATTGGGAAAATGGAGATTTTATAAGTATATTACTCCAAAGATTATTTAACAAACATATTTTTACCAACGAAAATAAGCCAATCTTTAATTTAAAATGCACAAAAGTTTTACTTTTTTTAATATTGCATTGACCATGACTTGCCAATAGAAGAAAAAATACAGCTAACAGTTACAACTGTAGTTTTTCCACTTAGTGACGTTCTTTTACAAAATTATATATATTTTAAAGTTTTTTTTAAAATTTTAGAGGACTACGAAAATGGAAAGTTCAAAGGGGGCTAAACATATAAGTTTGTCCTTTCTTAGTCAATCATCATCACAAAGTTTTAATTTAATTCAATAAGCAAAACAATAGCAAATCCATTTAAAGGAACCATGCAGAAGCCATGTAACAAACCCAAGTTTTAATTCATAGAAAAGTAATACTGTACAATAGTTGTGTTACCTGAGAAACTTACTTCGATTACTTTCAATTTGCACTAGTCACTGAAGCATTGGTATTGTAAAAAAAACCGTAACCAACTGTTTGTAGCGTAACAGGGAGATTCCCATTGAACAGTAACAGTGACAACGGTGATACGAGAGTCCTCCAGGCTGTTAACCTGCTAATGGCGTTACAAGTGGCACTCCACTATGGAGTATGTTGTGCTTAATAATCTGTTAACTAGTAAAATGTTACTGGGAAATTAAATTGGGATTGGGATTGAATTAGTAAACGTATTTTACTCATAACCTATCGTATATTTTAAGATAGGTATATTTATTTTATTGAATCGGGATTAAAGTTGTGGAATTGTACACAAGGGAAAAAAGTACTCATAATCAACAACTGGAACTAAATCTAACTCAAGATCTTAAATCTGCAAAATATTTGTAAAATAATAGTGCAGTTTGGGGGATTTTAAAAAATTTAACATTATTTCGCTTCTTCAATATTTTTCGCCCTTTTAAAACATGTATATGAAGTTGGGCTGAAATGGGTGGAGCAGATACGTCTCGCCAGATGAAGTGGCTTCTGAGGGATCTTTGGATAGATGTGTTACAGAACCTATCCATAAAGCCTTCATCTTCTAATTTTTTTTTTTTTTCACAGGGAGGGTCTTGTGTTTCTATATAGATGTTATTCATAGTGGTACATGTTGTAAAACAACAAAGGTTTACTTTTAAATTAAACTTGTATGTAGCACTGTGCAAACAAATTTCTTTGTTCGATTTTTATACATTTCAATTTTTACTGTGGTAGACCAATACTATTAGACACATATAATACCTCAAGTACCAGAGATTATTTTTTCAAATACTTGGATTGTAGTAATCAGAAATTAATTTAAATATCATCGTAAATAATTATATTAACATAAATTAATTATTATAAATTTAATTTACGAATGTATATTGATAGTGATACAACTTATATCCTTAAGTATGGAATACAGTATTTTCACAATAAATTTTCTTAGAAAACAAACATTTTATAAAATCATGAAAATTCAAGTTGTTTTATAAGCTATAACAAATAATAACTTCATTTGCACACTACTCCAAACCCTTAAAAAAGGATTAGAAAGAATAGTATATCATAATTAGTCTACGAACGTACTGGTGTTTACTTGTAATAATGAAGTGCAAGAATACCGTCAGTAATAGCTATGCATTTATTATTTACCCATCCGATAGCGTAATGAATCCAAGTTGTAGTAATATACGCTCATTTCTCATATGTTTAATTTGGATAAAAAAAACTGATTTAAAGTAATTTGGAATGTTAATTACAACTTGTACAGCAAAATTGACTTTATAATAATATTCAATACATTAAAAAAAAGTACATTACAAAATAAATGAGGACAAAACATGCATGAATAAATCAAGGTTTAGCCTACGTATTGTAAAGTTAAATCATGTTTTCCATCTCGAGTTATGTTTGGCGCATGTTTATAGTGTTGTGACCTACTTTAACTGTGCACGAGGGCTTTATGGCAGGAATGTGATATATTTATGTACATTGGCTACTTTGAAAGATTAAAATCAAAAACTTGGTTTTGGAGCAACCATTTTATAAATGTTTTAAAAAGTTTATTGCTTATTTATGAACTAAAAACCTTTTCTGGTGGAAAAATAACACATAGACCTACAGAAAAAGGTCTGGTCAGTTTTAAATAAACATTATTTTTAAAGTGTTACTTTACTTATTATTAACTATTTTATTAAATAATGTCCATAAGAAATATATTGTAAAAATGTTCTAGTAGCCGCAATGTAAATTTAAAGCAATATACTATTCTTTTTATAGAAAAGACCAAGTATTTTAAAGGAATATATCTCCGGTAAGTAATATAATACAGCCGTGTTTAACAGTATCTGTCTACCAACATGAAAATGAACAAGTTTGAACCTCTAACAAGGATTTTGTTGGTACATAACACTACATAAAACTTTAATAAAAGTACACCATTCATTGCATTACATCATGTGTTCTTAACAATCCATGGATGACATCTATGTTTCAGTTTGAATATTATGTTATTTTCTAAGACAGTACTAGCTCAAAAGTACATGTAAAAAATGTAATTTACAAGTTTAGCAAACGGTTTCATGGAGGCGACAGTCACAAGAAAGGTTAAATAACGAACAATTTTAATGGTACATTATTCAACCGGATTGTTAAATTTCATTCGAGGTTAATTAACGAGCTCAACGCGTCACCAGGCTTAAGTCCCTTTTAATTGAGAGATTAATACGCCCTAATTCATACCTTGCGTAGACACAGGTTGTATAATTAAACTCTACGCATTAGGTTATTTTATTTTTATCACAAAATACATTGAACGAATCAATTAAGCTACGTTTTCTCATAGATAAAGTTATACAAGAATTTAATGGTTGTTGAAATAATGTGTGGGTGAACACTATCTTTAACACTATTTATATCTATCAAGATTAACTTAATATTTATTATAGCGCAATTGATTGTTTACCTATGGTATTTTACTATTTAAAAACAAATAACATTCTCGTCTTAACTTCAAAAATACTTGTAACTTATACGAAACTCTTACCTTGTGTTTCCTGTGCGTGCTCCTTCATCTTGGTTCCTGAAAAATACACATATAATGTAGTTTCGTTTGCTATTTCTCAACAACTCTTAGAGAAAATAGACAACCATCAACTAAACGTAAACAAGTTTAAACAATGCACAATTAATATAGTTATTGCTGAAGTGTTTTGATTCTAATAATATGTTGAAATCGTTATACATTTTATAAGTCAGAGGTAATGTTTTGTTTCCTCTGATTGGTAAACTCTACATCTGTGTATTCTGAATGGCTAGCAAATGTATTCACTGGCTATCTTAAAATAAAAATTGTATACTAGGAAACGTTTTCGAAACCCTACCCAACACAGACGTTTGATAATAACCTTATAAATGACCGAATGATTATTCTAGCAACATTTAACATGTGAAAGACTTAGTCAGGACTTTTGTAGATCATAAACGGCTTTTGTCAAGCCGTCCTATCATAAAAATAAACTGTTTATTGAGCTGCTTTATTGACAGCTTTAAACAGGTAAATCTTGGTCTTTAGATTAAAAAGCTGTTATTCTATGTTTAGTATAACACATTTAGCATTCTGAAAGTGTTGTACAATTGTACATTTTAAATTGCCCTATATATATTTGAAAACTCTATTCGATGAATGGAGATGTATAGGATGAGTGGTACGACTTTATAGTTGGCTATGCAACTGTTGGATGGCTGCCTAAAAGGTGGATTGACCAGCCAACGCTGTCATAGTTTTGGCATTTGGGGGTTTGCCAACCGTCTAGGCGCCTGGACATAATAGATTTACGGGCTGTGCTCATTACTACATCATAAATGCGTAGAAACTTTTTTAAAAGTTTACCTAGCATCAACGTACACTTTTCTTTCTTTAGGGTGTCCATTAACAGTCCTTTGGGGCTAGCGGCCATCATGGACTATTTCATACAGCTGTTGAAGGGTTATTTAACATCCAAAAACAGTTTTTCAAATAACAAAGTAATTGTAATTTAAATATCTATTACAATTTGAGATCATAAATTGCTTTTCCTACAGTCACCCGACAAAGTGGACTTCCTAGCAGTGATTATAGTACAGAAAGCTACTAATTGCTGCATTTTGTTACTTTGGTGCATACTGTTTACTTTGTCACACAAATTTGTCTTTGTCACACACCAGTATTTCAACCAAACAACACAAAAAATGTGCTTTTATTATGCACGTAATCCGTGTGTGTTGAAAAGAGGTTGGCAACGCTTATAGATACTACGACTATGATCAGCTGGTGTAGCGTTTCCCATTTCGTTCTATTTTTGGATTTAACCTAACCTTATCACGTGTTGTACAGTGTTTGAAAGACAAGTTAATTACTTATATGCTTTAGTAACTGTAGGAAAAATATACAGTAATTACACGAATAACTATTTTAGCTTTGTAATTGTTTTCCAAGGGGGTCCATGGAGGTTATCTTGTATTTGCCCGCCATAAGATCAATGTTTATTTTGTTAACTTCAACAGCCACTTAAGAGTATTTAACCATATCAAAATATATTTTTTCAAATTCAAAAGTGATTGTAATTGAAATATCTAGTGCAATATGAGATTAGAAGATTTCTTCCTACTTTTGTAACTGTTTATGAACTAAAATGTGTAGGTTCTAAGAAATATAAAGATTACGAACTATGTGCTTTATCACAAATTAACCATAAAATTATTAAAACTGCTGTTTCATCACTTTATTTGGTTATGGTTCAATAATTAAAATATGTTTTCAATATTTAAAAAATGTCTTACTTAATTATGTGGATTAATATTGCTCGAAAGGAGTTTTTAATCATACTTATGAAACTTTCAAATAGAAATATGATTTCATAGATAAAAGTTAAAATAATTGCACGCTTTGCTAAATAAAACTTAAAATAACTTAAGTTATATTGAAAAACTAGATTGATTTGCTTGCAGTCGTTCGAAAAGGCAGGGAGTACATTTTGATATCCGGCAGACTGTAATATATTGCTCGCGGACAATTCCAGGGCAAACCAATTTATCGATTGATATTGCATAACAGAATTAATACACGGCAAATATTTTTACCTACGACCGTTTTTTAAAGTAGCCATTTCAGTCCAGTTCTTAAAATTGAAAAGTTTCACTTTACAGCTGTTTACTTTTATATCCGCATAGTTTCATTTCATATCCGCATAGTTTTCTCATATCCACACAGGTAACGGACCAATGAGGTTCAAGTATTGAGAGAAAATAATTAAAATTGTAATGCTTCGAACGTCAACTAATCAGCTGATCAGCTGATCAGTTGACCAATTTAATTGTTGATCCGACTTGTTCATGTTGATACTCGCGTATTCTTAATTAAGTTGGTGGAAGTCCAAAAATAAATGAAATATTTGCCGAATTGTACCTGATACAATATTATTTATGGTAAGAATGCTGCTAGCAATGTAATATTTAACGAAGTTTAACAAACACGTAATTACAGGAAATCAGCTGATTATACAACAAGTCGTTGCATCACTTTCAGTGGCAATGACAATACACGAAAACATAACGTCTCTAAAAAGTTATCAGTAGTGATTGTTAGTAATTAAATCCAGATTGATAGTAATTAAAATACGGTCGTAGGTAAAGTAGTGTACGCAACTCGCGTTAATAGTCTTTACGACACTCGTGGAAGTTTTTAAGGCACTCGCCAAGGCTCGTGCCTTAAATTTTCTACTCGTGTCGTAAAGACTCACTTAACGCAATCGTTGCGTAAACTACTATACCATGTATGGTATGTAAGGGAATATATGTTTAAGATATCTGCAACTAATTGGTTACTTACACAAAATACAATTAATTTTAGATGCTAAATTTAAAAGTTAATAAATAGTTTTTGAAATTAGCTTACGTTTAAAAACAGTCATGTACCATCTTACTCTAAGCTAAGCAGACACATTTTACTTGTTCATAAAACATCAAGTTAGACAGCAAAATATTGTTTAGAAACTGTTTGGCCTGGTTGTTCCAATTGTTAGAGTTTCGAAACATGGTTATAACATTGCACGAATATTATAGGTGTCAATTAGCCCTTTTCCTGGGTCATTTTAAAAACAACCATAGTTTGAGTTTTTAACGTTTTTTTCATTTTTTGTTATTAAATTATGATATCAAGAATCAAGAATCAAGAATATTTATTGTCATGAAACACATAAATACAGTGTATTGACAATCGTCACAACTTAGATGTAAGACATGAAGTATACAATGATGTCATACATATTTAGATTTAGGCCTAGTTGTACATTTCCCAGCATATAAAAAAGTTTTCAATTGAATAGAGTCGCTCATTCAGGAGTACATTTTTAATTTTTTTTTATTTAGTTTAGGGCAGTGACTTTATATATTTTGGTAGACCATTATAGAGCTTGGTTGACATATACAACCAGTTTTTCTGTGAAACAGTATACTTATATTGTTGAACTCTTAAATTACATTTGTTTCTTGTATTTTACGTATGAAAATCACCATTAATACTAAATGAGTCTAAATCTGAATGGACATAACACAGAGAGTTCATAACATAAAGAGAGTAGAGCGTTTAGACACGTAAATTTACAAATAAAGATTTACAAGACTTTCTATAAGGGACATTACAAACTAACCTGTTTGCTCTTTTTTGCAATATAAACAGTTTTTTTTTTTCAATAAAAACTAGCTCCACATAAGACAATACCATATGTTTAAATACTATGAATTTGTGCATAATAAACATTTAACCATACATAATTATCAACACAATGCCTTAACCTACTAATCATATATAAACCCTTGGACAATCTCTTAGAAATAAAATCTACATGGAAGTTCCAGGACAAATTAGAATCTAACCAAATACCTAAACATTTTAAAACAGTGTTTTTTTAAGCATTAGAAACATTTTTATTATAGCTAAAATACAAGTCATAAATTGTCTCCGTATTAAGTGATGATAATTAGCAGCACACCAGTCCTGTAGAGTCAAAAGACTAGAATCAAGGTCAAGTTAGATAAAAGTTAATTAATGAGAAATGGCTGACGTTGGGGTTGTAAACTTTAACTTTTGATGTGAACGTCACCGATCCGTAGCGCCATTCTATTGTCATCAATCGTAAAATGTTTATGACAGATTTACGTTTATTGATCTTTCATTTCAATTTGTAAATTTGCCAGCTACATGTTCATTCAGAGCGATTACATCAAATCAATTTTACAACAGAAAACTCTCTACAACATTATCACAAACAATTTTCTTTTAATAATTATGATAATTTAAAAAGAGCCCAATAAAAAGTTTCATTCGTCGACTTGTATTAACAAAAAACGGGCTTTAAGCAATATTATTTCCCCGTATAAATATTTCCTTATTTGATGTTTGTTGAGTTGAAATCCCATATTTTAGGCCTAACATGATTAAACTGCAAACAAAAACCAAATAATTTAAACAGAGAGAAATAATTTTAACTCAGAGCGACTAAATACTACATGTTAGACTAGTTTAATTTGTTTTGGTTGTACTGGTTATGGCAAAGATTGGACGTGGTTGTGTTTTCATATAAAATTTACGAATTAAACGTTCGAATTTTACACAAAACCCGTATCATAAACCAATAGTACTGCAATTCAAACCTAAAGATATACCCTCACAGTTATAGGGCGAGCGTAAAGGACCTGGGCCATAAAGTGCAGACCGGTACATTTCCACTGTCGCAGGGTATCTGCCAGTAAAACTGACCGATGTCCTTCGTCCTGGGATCCTGCCAGGTGACTTGGCAACTTCCACTGTCACGTAATTGCCGAATAAAAACCATAGCAGATTTTATAGAAGTTTCATCAACCCTTTTACTTGGAAAAATGTGAGATATGGAAAAAATGTATTTTCAAATTCATGCCGCAATAAAATTACAGTGTTAATTTACGAAAATGAGGTTTTAATCAATTTACGGAATTGGATTTGAAATGAGGATGTATCATTTAATTTTATATAGTACCAATATAAACTAAAATATACGTACCTAT